TAGGGCGGGAGCCACCTCTTAAACCCGTAGGAGCCACCTCTAGAATCCTAACGCCTGGCAACGGATCCTCAGATGTATCAAGCGCGACGAGGACGTCACGAGTCTAACGGGGGGTGATTGTAATACCCAGACCAGGAAAGTTTAAAAGATTTGATAGGTACTACTCATACCAACAAGGTGCACCTTCTTTTTCGTAAGTTCATCATTAGAAACTCTACAGTTAAGCGTGTTTGGCTTGGAGCAATTCTATGATGGGTGACCCCCTGGAAAGTTTTCTCGGGGAGCGTGCGAGTGAGGACAAAGCATGCTGAAAAGACCCATGTTGGTACGGTGAGAACAGTACGTCGTCGATCTAACGGCCGGAACAGCCCGTTAAATGGGACCCGAGTCGTTACAGTCTTCCTTTAACGACCAGAAATCTTTAACTAGACCTATTTTAATCAACATTTAACATACAAAAAAATAGTTAAACACAAAGACTTACGAAAACGAAAATTCAAGTTCTTCTAGATACACCAACTTATGTGGAACTGAATTGTGCATTAAAAAATTGGTTTTAATTCGTTGGTTTGACCAATTATTTTAGTGGGTCTCGTTAGTTGAACAAAAAATTTCTTTGGCCGAGTGTGTTATACTCCATAAGTAGATTAATATAATGTATTTATTTTCTCAAAACAAATTTAGTGTGAATATGAAATTAAGGTCAAAAGATGACCACTTGAAGTTGAAATAAATTGGAAATAAAAATTGGTGGGAAATTGAAAAATGACAATCCTACATAGGAAAACTAGAAGAATAGGTGCACGCCTCTAAGGCCATTTGGCTTTGTGACAGTGCTAGGAGGGGAAATTTTGTACTAGGCCCGTGCCTATTTATGTCCTTAGCAGTCATTAGTATTTTTGTCATAATTTTCTTTCTTGATATCAAATCGAGATGATATAAAGTGATAATCAGTTCGAACGCTTGCTATGCCAAAATGGGTCTCAATCTGAGACTGAAAATTCGGAATATAACTTTTTCAACAGAAAATTGATGTGTGATAATATTTTAACTATATTTCACCCTTTTGACTTATTTTCTCATCCAATTGACATCTAACACTCTCTAATCTTCATCATGAAGTTCGATACAACATTTGAGTATTTGCACTTTATTTTCCAAACTTTGGATCTCTTACAATTGAGTCATTTTCCCCATTTTTCTCAAATTCCGCCATTTATGTCGATTTGTACCTAACAAACACAATAAATAAATAATTAAGCCATAATTCATAAAAATAACCAATAAACACTTTAACTGGAAGGTCCAAATAAGTGTACAAAATACATATATCAATTCATATATGTGCACTTTGTTCAAACAAATAGAGCTCAAGCATAAATGGCGAGTATACCGCTTTCTTCAAATAACGCGTACTTCCTTTCTCAATGAAACAAAGAAGCCATATGCCACGAGAAATGGAGAATCTATTTTCCCTGGTTGTTTTTCCGTGTTTTCTCACTATTTCTGCATTAATGGCAGCATCAGCCCAGCAACAAAGATATTCCAATATTTCCGTTGGATCTTCTTTAACCCCCAGTACAAATTCATCATGGCTGTCACCTTCTGGACTCTATGCCTTTGGATTCTACAATGTAACCAATGGCTATGCTATTGGAATTTTTCTTGCTGGGATTCCAGAAAAAACTGTAGTGTGGACAGCCAACAGGGATGATGCCGTTTCTCCCATCAATGTGGTTTTGCTATTAACCAACGATGGACGACTCATTTTGCAGCACGAAAATGGAGACGGAATAGTGATTGTAAATCCCAACACGTCTGTTGCTTCAGCTTCAATGCTTGACAATGGCAATTTCGTGCTGTACAAGTCGTCTCAAATTATCACGTGGCAGAGTTTTGATAACCCGACGGACACTCTTTTGCCTGGCCAACACCTCTCAGTCGGAAAAGATATTTTCTCCAGTGTTTCGGAGACAAACCCTGCCACAGGGATTTTCCGTCTCAAGATGCAATACCCTGTGGGAGCTGAAGACATGAAGAATAATGCTTACTAGTCATCACACACCTATATATGGAATGGGCAATAATATATAACTGAATCTTGATAATAATGGCCATTTTTATTTGATCAATGGAAGCTCCATTGTAAACAATTTAACTCCAGGACAATATCGAACAAGAACTATCTACCTCGT